CTGATAATGGACACATATCAATGATTATGTCATCGAGAACTTTGACATAGTCGAGAAATTCTTTATCATTGAACTCCAATCCTCTCAAAAATGACCGTAAATCTGTCAATATATCTTCGTATGTTGTGCATGCAAATTTACACATCTCTATTTTTCTTTCGAAATTTTTAGCTTCTGAAAATGCTTTCAAAATGAGACCAGCACCTGATATTGTCCCATGAACAATGGGATTCAATGTTACACCACCCGCAATTGTCCCTGTTACTACTAATGAAACAGATCCAATATTACACGTAAGTTCTACCTTTTTGAGATATTTGTAAGTCATTTTGAAAAGCCAATATTTTTTTATGATAGTGTTTGTACAAAGCTTTCAATACTGATAAATCAGATTCTGTTAAATTTGGATCGATTAATATGATAGAAATTGAATATAGTCTTCGGTGTTTTGATATATATGGTTTAGATATTATTCAACCGAAATATGTACCTTTCGTTTTTTCATATTCCATTATCTTATTGAATTCTGTACCACCAATGTCATGAGAATTATAAGAGAAACCAACTTTTAATACAGAATAACAGAATTCAAATTTAAAAGTTTTGTTCAGATCGTTGTTTTTATTTATGTAATTGAAAACACATACATTAGTTCCATCACCGTATGTAAATTTGAAACTGTTTTGATTTTTCACAATCCAAAACATAACTTGTTTGTTGTAGTATTTATTTTCAATATTGATTCTGATTCTTCCTGAATTGAAAATGTTCCACGAATTTGTAACATACGCACATTCTCCAGCGGATGATTAAATATTGAGTACGATAAATCAGTATTACCACCATTTGTTTTATGAATGATACTAACAAATTCCAATATTTTTTTTATTAGTAAAATCAATCACAAAGTATATTGTATAATGAGCATTTGTTTCAAGATTTGATGCAAGTGTGGCACTAAATTCAATCAATCCATTCGTATTACTTAAATCGGATTTTGTTTTTGTGGTTGTCAGAGTTAACATACCAACTGATGATATTGTAGAATCATCATTTTTGTATTTGATTTGTGATGGGACTAAAAAATCAGCATATTCTTCAAACCAAATCCCATTATACTCTTTTTTTTTAGCCATGTGGCTATTTGTAGTTTTCTGTTGAGTGCATTGATTTCATTTTGCATTTGTTGTTTGGCTGCATTTATATCCAATCTCAACGTTTTCAGAGTATCACTTTCACTTTTGTTGCGTTGTTTAAGATTCACAGCATCTTCATCAGTACCTTCTAAAACACCTTTTATCTTATTATTTTTTACGTCGATACCATCATGATGTTCAAATTCAACTTCTGTACTGAATGTCATTTTACCATTTTTAAAAGCATGCGGATTATCAAAACATCTGAAGCTATCTGAGTCTACATCATTCTGTTTCCCCTCCATTCCATAAACAATCAAATGGCCATGCCCCTGGGCAGGGCTGCTTGCGGTGCCCTGACATCTCATGTCAACGTAGATGTATTCGGGAGGAGTTACGTCCCACTTATGCAAGTGAATAACGGATCGGCTGTTTTGGGGAAACAGCTTGGTTGAGTTTTGGCCGATATTCAATGAAGTGGAAACAACAGACACTGTCACCTGATCCATAACTGGCGAGAAAAATTCAATCACCAAAGTGTATTCACCTTGTGGAAGTTTGTACATGTTGAAACTCAGCCGGGATGAATACTCATTGTTCAACCCCTTTCCCATTCTAAAACTGTAAGCTTTTTGTTTACGTCGTGAGGTGAATCTGGAAAGTCTTTGATGCCATCGACGATGATGTTGCTTTCACTTGTTGACTCATGTTAACAGATGTTGACTCTTGTTAACAGTAGGATGTCAGATATCAAATACAGATCGTGATATTCACCCATATTTTTCAGTTTGAATTTCTTCCAAATACTTTGAGCATGAGAATAGTCTTCATCTGTTCTATGTTCATCATCCAGAATGCTGTAAAATTCTTCTTTAGTTGGCAGTTCTGTTTTATTGAATTTTTCGAAACTATCCATGAAATCATAAGGATACGTACCTTTTTGAGACATTAAATCTAATTTTTTTCCTCGAAGCTTTTCTGATGTATATTTCAATGATTCTTTTGGAAGGTTGCTGACTAGCTTATCAAGACTTGAACTCATAAATTGGAAACTGTCAAGAAACGTCAGATAATTACCCAACATGCAAAGCCATATGTTTTTCCATATTATTGGGTATTGCATTTATGTTCACTTGCTGCTCTTCTCCTTTTTTGTTCTTATATGTGTGATTTTTAGCTATTTGACCAATCTGTTGCATGATAAAGTGACTGTCATAACCTCTCAGATTGTGCAATATTACTGGAATCTTATCAGTTAGTTGGAAATTAAGGTTGCAATCTTGATGAGCCGAACCTCTGTACTTACCAGTGATATGACAATGGTCTCTGACACGAATATCTTTATCAGTATATTTTTTACCACAAATGTGGCACTTATTAGCTTTCTTGAATTTTCTTCATCTTTATCCGTCATTTTTAATGGCTTGTTGAAGTTATTTTTTATGATATTTTTACGATAATTCACTTCATATAACATTTTTTCTAAGAATTTATAAACAGCATTTTCGCCTCTATACGCTTGTACTGGTTTAGTGAATTAGTCATCGTAACAACAAACGACTTTCTAACCAAAACTACAGTCTTTGTGATTTTGATAAGCTTCAGTAAACGATTTATCATCATTGGGATGACAACCTTTCACTTTTTCTGTGATGGCTTCAAAATCAGCATAAATAACGAATGGTACAGGTAACTGTTTGTGGTGATTTTGGAATAAAATTCGTTCACCTTTATCGGGCATTTTTATGGCTTGTTGACCATTAGTAACCATACATTCAGTCTTATGTTTACTGAGAATCTTGTCTGAACTGAAACATTGTAGGCAATACGTACAGAAATGTTTTCTCTCTTACGAATTTTATACCGTGGATAAATAGAGATTATCTATCTATATATCTATCTATCTGTCTGTCTGTCTGTCTATTCATCTATCTATCTATCTGTCTGTCTGTCTGCCTATCTATCTATCTATCTATCTATCTATCTGTCTGTCAGTCTGTCTGTCTATCTATCTATCTATCTTTGTGATTCGTTTGATGGTACATGAATCTATTGAAATGTTTAATCAACACATAATGTTTATTTTCATCTCCTGTTATCAACAAAAGATTCATACAATTATCGAACTTTTCTTTTAAACGTAAATAGGGAATGGTTGTTTTCCTTCATATCCAAATACGTTGATGTTGATTTTATTCTGTTTTTCTATTTTATTGTATTGTTTCACATCAACTGGAAATTCAATGTTAGAATAATCTAATGTATTAATGAATGCTTTGTCCGACTTCTCAAACCTTTCTGGATGTACTGATTGTGGGTTCAAATGCCTTATATGACACCATCTGAAGCATTTATCATCTTTGTTTTTCATGTTTACCAAACCCTTCTTGGGGTTTCTCAATTCTTTTGGAAGTTGTATATATGATGAACCCTTCATAGGATTGTACTTGACTATATTCAAATAATGTTTATCAACTGATTCTATAACCCATCCTGATCCTTCTGATAACCATTGTGCAATCGTTTTAATTATCTGTTCTAATGCTAATTTTAATAATTCTTCAATTTCAATATCATTTGTACATTTTTTAAGTTTTACTGTTGAAATAAGCTCTTTTGTATAATGTATTTTTATCTTTGGGTTTTTAAAAGTTATTTTTAATGTTTCAACCAGTTTTAGTCCTTTCACTTCGTTTAATATGCGTTTGAGATAAGTTTCAATCCATTTATTAGTGCTGTTTAACTGCCTTAATGGGTATTTTTGATTTTTAATACCAACTTCATAAGACTTAACAGCATTTTTAAGAGCCTTGTCAAGTTTTGTTATTTTAGTCCTGGGTGCTGGAACAGGCTTATAATCATCTCTAAATTGAGGTGGTGGTGCCGTAACAGGAAGATCTCTAAATTGAGGCGGCGGCTGTATTATTTTATTTCCATACTCCGTGACTAATTGTTTTACACTTTTTCTTGGTTTCGAAATTGACTTATTTTCTTTTTTCAATAGCAACTCAATTAGCTGCTGTTTTGATAATTTACTAAGACTATTTCTATCCATACTATTAGAGTACATTATTTTTTCACCCTCCATAATAATATATGGCGGTTTCTCTTTAAGTGTCTTTCGCTTTTCATCCCCCATAGTAATGTATGTCGGTTTCTCTGTAAATGTCTGTCGAAAAATGATTTTCAGGCCTCTCAGAGACCACAGGGTAAAAAATGGTCTTGATTTTAAAATTAAGAGGCAAAATATGGTTTTAAACACACCGCCGTGAACAAAAAATTCTCACCACTTTAAAATTAAGAGGTAAATTTTAAAAAGTGCGCCTGAGGGGTGTGAAAATCCATTTAAGTGCTGCTGTGAGGTTTGAATGAATGGTGGCCCAGATACTACATCTCCTATACTACTTGTACGCTACTTTAGAAGCTGCGAAAGCAAAGCCTGAGAAGCTTCAATGAAATGCCAACCCATGACCGCTGTTATACCGGTGGGTTCTCTGTTAACTAAGCTATCCACATGCAGTCACGTCTTGCAAAAAAAAAAAAAACAACAACAACTGAAAATAAATAAATATACAGGTCTAAACAAAACCATAACACGCAAACAATTCTCTTGATACTTTTGAATGAAACTATGTTTGCGGCATGCTCTATTATTCTGATGCCAAAAATGTAGTTCAGTGTTTTCTGATTCTGCTATTAACATTGGGAGTTGGAGTACTAGGCATCAGGCTTGAAAAAAGCAATTTTCTGCATGTGCGTCTGCCAGTGTATCCGTCAGTCAGTCTGTCTGTCTGTCTGTCTGTCTGTCTGTCTGTCTGTCTTTCTATCTATTGCCGGTTGAAAATACATGCAACCAGTGTGAAGTACTGGGGGAAGACGTGCACAAGATTCACGAATGCTTTTGGTTCTACTTGCATGGCTGAGAAACTGGAATGAGTCTCGAGACAATCATTAAAAATAGAAATGCAACACCTGAGCAAAAGCCAACCTCCTTTAATGTTCAAGTAAATAGCGTTCAAAAGTGTTCACCTTAGTTCTTATAATCCCAATCAGTTCTTTCCATTCTCTTCCATTTTCTCCATGATCTAGTTAAAGACAGTGTCATCAAGTACCCAGCTCCCCACGGAACACAACAGAACAATGCTGGGTATTACGCGGTACTTCTGGTTTACCATTTGCCTTGGTGCAGTTCTTGCCCTCTGCTTGCTGTTTTTCACGGACACGATCAACAATGGTTCAATGAAGAGTGTATATAATAGGCGTCGTCAAACAGAAAAGTCGGTAATTTCAAAGAGGCTGCGAGACTTCCGACACGAGTGGCTTCGTCAGCGCCGTGCACGCGTAGACTGGAACAACATTTTTGAGCCTTGTGTCGACAATATGGTCTGGGGATTAGTGAAAGATCATTGGGGCAAAACCAATAGAAGCAACGCTGCGACAAGTGAGATCATATTCAAAGACATCAGGCCAGCGGGAGAGTTCAGCAAGATTTTCATCCAGTCAAAAACCTCAGACAATCGCACGAAGTTGATTGGTGGAGACACCTGGAGGGTTTACGTACGCGGCCCGGCAAGCATTGCGGCCACTGTTTTCGATCACAATAATGGAACTTACGAGGCTCTATTTCTCATCACGGAGCCTGGTGTCTATCAGCTAATTATTTACCTTGATTACAGTCTTTGTGATGGCTTCAAAGACCCACCTCGTGATTGGTTCATTAAGGGTGACGCTCAGGGCGCCCACCAGAAAGATGGATTTCTGGGTCCTTTAGATGAATATTTGGTGAAACAGCCATTCAACAATGGACAACCTGCCTTAACAATAAATGTAATTAAGGCCCAACTTAAAGGCTCTCTTTCTGGTAAGAAGGTATCTGTTTGATTGTATATTTGTTTGATGTCATGTCATGAATGCAGTATGAAGTGATAAAGAGTTTCAGTAATAATTTATCAAAGTTCAAATGCTGAAACATGCTGCAGACTATTTCAGACCACCTGAACATTATGGTCCGCGTAATGATCTAGCTATTAA